CTTGCTAGTTTCTTATTTGGAGGGAGTTTAAAATAAACATTTTAGCRTTATAACAGCTAGTTTCTCATTGCATTGCATTCAATAATTAAAGTTAATTATTTATTTATACTTATGTCTTCAGCCAAAGAAATCAAAAAGTTCAAAGGTAAGGAAATTAGTCACTTTACTAGATGTCCTAATGATATACCTAGCTAACAAAATATCATGCATAGCTAGCACAATACCWTGCACTTTACCGAAAAAAGATGAATTTAAATTAAACAGATTAATAATGAAAATGATTATTTTGTGTTGTAGAAATCCAAAACTAAGAAAGCTCTACCSAAGAACTTTGATGTTGAGAAGTTTCTTTCAAGACTTCACTATGTTGAGAAGTARACCGATTAACAGAATGGCTTGAATAAAAGAATGTATACGAGATAGCACAGAGACAACTGAAGGGCCAGCACCAACCATGGTGGTCATTGCTTATACTTCTCAAATCCGAAAATTAGCTATTTTTAAGTGATAAAAAATGAGGGTTTTCCAGCCATACTCTGACAAATTTATGCATAGTATTGTACTATATTCACAATAACAATGGATTTGTTACCATCCAAAGGCTTTTTCTTATTATTTCTTAGGAAATAAAAGAAATAATCTCTGTCAATGAAAAACAGTAAGAGCAAGTTATTGTGGTTATATTGCAATGTTTTAATTTTCAAAGCAAAAACAAGAGCTTTTAAGAGATTCTAGTTGATGATGGCCCCTCATTGTAATAGCCATACCCACATTAGGCAAGAAGGAACATTTCAATTTCTCTATAGTGGTTGAGAGCGTGGTTGAGAGCGTGTTTAGGCAAATGTTTTTACCAATATTCACTTGTTCATGTTTGTAATTATGTTTGCATTACCGAAAAAGATAATATTGATCATAGATTTAACTAATATATTATGACAAAATATTGAAATAATTATTATTAGATTAATAACAATGATATTTGTATAATAAAAGATATTGAACCAGAAGTGGAAATATGTTAAGTTTGTGATTTATGACCAAAGTAAAATATTGTCCTTAATTYAAGGGTTTACAATGATTTTTCTGGGGTTCAGCATTTGAAAAATCTAAACAAAATGGCGGATTTATTGATCTCAAAATTTGAAACTGCCTTGGGTTCAGCCCTGAAATCAGAATATAATGATCAGGGAAGCATTCTTCAAGGCAGTTTGAGCCGAGTGGATACCATACTCCCTTGCACATTAAAAACCAATAAATTACCTTCTTCAGTTAAAAAATTCCAACTTGAAAGTTTCTGAAGAGTGAACGGTCTGAACCCAGGTGTAAGCGATGCAGGTGTAGTATGATCGTCCAGGTGTAAGAAGTCTTGAGAAAGACTTGTAAATGGCTGAATAATTTATAATGGTTTAATATCATATCGTAATAATGCCATAGTTTATAGTTCATAACATAGTTCTAAGCATATTCATCGCTAAAACTACGTGTGACAACTTGATTTGTATTAACTTCTTTTAATTGGACGCTGCAAGTGTTTTAAAGACTTATGACTTACACGTAGGATGTTGAAACGTCAGGTAATAATTTATACCTTAGAGTCTTTGTCAAGACTTCTTATGCCCAGACAATCATATCACACCTACAGTGAACAAAGTTTCTGTTATTTTCAGATAAGTGATTGTAAACAAAGATTGAAATCATAAGAATTATATCAAAAGTGTTGAATTTTTAATGACCTTTTTTAGTCTTACCCTATATAAATACATTTAATTTACAACCTGAATATAATATACAATGTGCCTTACATTTTCATTTGAAGCATGATGGCATTTGAGGGATTTGGAGGTTAAACTATTTATACAGCTATTTGAGCATGAATGCGTTTTAAAGTGATTGCACTGAATTGGCAGTGCAACTGTACAAAATCTAATATAAGTAGTATTAATTTGTACTAAAAGTGGACCTGAAGCAAGATGGTATTGAATGCTTCATTTGTTTCAATTCAATTTAATTTGCATTCCA